CCATGTGCCAAATTTTATACAAATATTTTCAGCCATTGAGTCCTCGTAGGTAAACTTCAATTTATATTTTAATAGAAATGCCTTCGGTATATTTACGCATTACTCTCGTGGGAGTGTCACATCAAACACTGCAACAAAAAGACATATCCTTAATGGATTCAATCACATCGTCCTCTCGTGTTGAGGCATCATAGTAGGCATTGAGAGGGAGGTACAGTCATAACCTGGAATTGCTGTACGCCCAAACGACCCGGCGCGGTTGAAACGCGGGATTTGATCTCGTAAACAAGCGATTGCCAAAAAGTCCTTATGTCTACATACGCCCCAACGGGGCGATTTTAACTTTCTGGGAATTCAAGCCTAACAAGATGGATTTAAGTCCCAGGAGATGTAAACAGGAAGTTCCCTTCCTTTCGATATAAAAAGAAAAAGGTTTCGATTATAAATCGAAACATCATTGTTCAAATCTAGCTACGTAATAATAGTAATTCTTCTAATTTCTATTTTCAAATTTACTTGTCCATTTTTTTAATTCTTAAAGACTTTTTTTTTTCTCATAATACCTTCTTCAGATATATCAGCCTTATCGTATCCTGAACTGATTTCTCGGATCAGATTGTATCTATTTTGCCTACTCACGGAAAGAGAGGAATTAATGAATTTACTGGGTACAAAGGAATAATATCTGAGTCCTCAGGAATGGCAACGCATGGGGGGTATCATAGGCGAAACAGTATACTCTGTTATGTCCATGGTACTGCTCATGTCTACAGGCGACGGTTACCACTTTCCATCAGGTGGGACGTCAGCTTGTCTGGCATTTTAAGTTGTATAAAAAAAAAGGATGAAAATCGGTAGAAGTCCTCACATACCTACGAATGTGATAGAGGGACTATTCCCAAAGGCGGCTCACAATAAAACACATGATTGCACATTTACGAATTGTTACCCGATGAGTAAAAAGATACTAGTTCCGTCCCGAGAGAAATGACCTAGTTGGAGATAATAATCTCTTCTTGGTACTATTCGTTTATTACGGGATCCCATACACATACACAGATACAACTGTGATAGATATAAAATAAGATCCAAGCTACCCGAGATTTGTCTACAGAGATTTTTTTTCTTGAAGTTATAAGTTACATAGGGTTCTGGGAAGCCCGTCCTTGCTATTTGATACCTATCTTTATTTAGGTACAGAATGTTTTACGCGCAACTACGACAGCGAGATTGTGTTGATTGACCGAGATACTAGTATAGTATTATATTATCTGTGACCGAGATATTTTATTTATTTATTTATTTATGGCAACAAACAGTCATTTACAAAATATTAATAATATATAGGTACATTATAGTTTTACAACAACAGACCTTACAGTGCCAATAATAGTATTTTAAACATAGAGTTATTATTCATGAAGTCCCATGGCAGCACGCAAGAAATTTTGTAACAAATCCAAAGTACTAATATATATAAGTATCAAAGATGAAAAAAAAGAAGCGCCGATTTAATTAAAACATACAAGTTTTTGAGTTAATCCTTCTTTGCATAAGGGTGGAAATTTCCATCATAACAATTTATATGCTCAAAAATTATATAAAAGAACAATTTCACTTTAAGTTGATCGTGTATGGATACCTTTTTAATGTCCATTGCAGAAAAAAAATGATAGCTGTCAAACTTATTTTTTTAACCATTTTTCCTTTAATTTTGAATATGAATTACATCACCTTGATTTATATCACCAATAAAAAAAAAAACATGCAAAGAAGCGTAAATTTACTTTTAAAAATATGAAGAGATTCATAAAAGGGATCTATAGAGAGATATAATGTAGTCTATGTCTTTCTCCGTCCCAAATACTTATATAAGGGTATATCAAATATCTAGCGATTAATTAAGCAAATACCAAAATAACATTCTTGACATTCATAATATTAATAAGGAAATAAGAATAATGAAAAGAAGAAATAAAAAATGGCAGACCATCGAGGGAGGCATGTCTCTTACTGGTACACGGAAAAAGCTCCAGGATAAATACACCTAAATAATATCTACGTGATAGAGCGTTAATAATAAAGTTTTAACATTTATCTTAGTTAACTCGAGTTAACTAATTAAATTTTCCCGAAAACAACAATTACTAGATTGATTTTTCATTTCTAAAAAATTCCCGTATTTTTACTATATATTCAAATTTCATTAGAAAAGATCATTGTTTAATGAATATACGGTATATTTACTAACGAGGTTTTTTTTTAAAGGGTGAAAATGGAATGGTTGCCCCGTCCGCACTATCAGTATACACCGACGAGGCACCAGTGAAAGATGATAGGTGAGAATAAATGCAGGTCAGTTGACCCACTAGAATGAATTCGACAAGAATTAACCATGATGGTTTCCAGGGAGAACCGCGTGGAGGTCGACCTGAGAGGGTATATTGCTAGCAATAGGAACTACTAGACCTCATTACTAACAATCCCTTCCCCCCTACTAAGAAGGTTAGTAGAATGTTAAGAATTGTAACAATAAATTTCGCCTGACAACTATTAAAAAAAAAGTTTTTTCAATGGTAGTTAGGTTTTGAAAAAAGACATTTTCGTTCGTGTGTCATTTTCTTTTTATCGACTTATATATATCGCACGCATACATATATTGGGACATATATTGGGACAAATATCGCAATAATTAATATATATCGCTTTGTATCAATTTTATTATATACACAACATAAAACCAAGAGGCTGATAAAGTGGAGGGCACTATGCTGCTGGTCGATTCAAGACGGTGGATAGGTAACCTGGATGAAGGTAAGTTCAAATAAACGAGATGTTCTAGAAGCCTAAAGCCAGCCCTGCTAGCTACAAAGATTCGAGTCAATGGCCTCCACCTTCATTATCCTCTTGTGTTCGTAATTATTATACCATTTTCGTAATACATAATACAGTCCACTACCAACCGTTGCCAGACGATTAATTTCATTTTTCTACAATTTCATTTCACGAACGGTTAACATAAAACTTGCGGGGTGAGTAGAAAAAATATCTGGAAAAATTTTAACGCTTTTTTTCTGTCTACAATGACTAAGAACAAGCTTCCAATATAATACACAATAATTATCAAAATTCCAGACATATTTCAATCTATATAATTTTAAGAAATTACTTGATTACTATTTAAACTTTAGAGAATAGACATATATATATATATATATATATATATATATATATATATATATATATATATATATATATATATATATATATATAACAAAAACAAGAAATTGAGCTTTCATTTCATGATATATCTACAATATTCAACTGAATTTTCAAATCTAAAATGCAGATCTTAAAATTATTAAAACTTGGAAAAATACTTTTGGAGTAAATGTAATTTGAGATCGTATTTCCTAAGTAGATAATAAAGTTTTTGTTTACGCACAGCATCGTTCAAAATTAATAGGTAAGTAAACATGATAACATAAAACATGGCATAAAATTTTTGTTTTAAACGTTAAAAGTTGTCTTGCCTCGGGGACCATCAAGGACGTCGTAACTTCAGAGGAAACTGGCGCGTCCCCTTTTGACTCGTTCCCGAAGTTTGTTCGGTTTCCGCTTACTGTTTACGAGTATGTAGGCACCTACTCGCTAAATCGTAGATTGTTTATGATTTCTTACTTTTCAATAACTAGTATCTAATTATTTTTACTAGAATTAAATAGTTATAATAAAATGTAAATAAACTACAAATAAAAAATCGAATAAATTTGAATACTTCGATTTGTTAATAATTTTTGTATTTTAATGGGTAATGGAAAATGATATGGTAACCCCGTCCGCGCTAACGGTATACGCTATTGGAGCACCAGCGAAGGGTGATAGATGAGAATGAAAACAGGCCAGTTAGCCTATCATAATGAATTCATCAGGAATTAACCATGATAGTTTCCAGGGGATACCGCGAGGAGTTCGACCTAGCTGGGTATATTGCTAGCAATAGGATTCTCAGTCTCCATTATTAACAATTCCTTTCCCCCTGATTTGTTAATAATTACATTTACAGTGTTTCTGGGGTAACGTCAACGAAACTTGGTTAGCATTTCATTAGCAGGGAAAGGGATTATTAGTAATGAGATCAAATAGCCCCCTTACTAGCAATGTAGGGTGTATTGCGAGTAATGCGGCTATTGGTCAGGACAACCTCCACATGGTACCCCCTGAAAATCATCGTGGTTAATTCAATTTGAATTCGTCAATCACTCACTAGTGCCTCGCTAGCGTATAATCGATAGCGCAGGCAGAGTAACCATTCCATCATTACCCATTAAAAGAAAATAATTAGATTATATTTAAACAAACTATAGTCACAGATAATATACTAGTATTATAGCTAAATTAATATTTTTTCTGTGACCACAACTTCGCCAAGCAACTTCATTTATAGACAGACTAGCTTTTTGCCCGCTACTTTGTACATGTGAATTTTAATAGAAGAGAAAAATCAATGAAACAGACCAATTCTGGATGGTATATCGTGATTTTAAATTAGACTTTCAGGAACACAACTGTGAAAACCGAATCCGATTTGTGTTAGTATTTATTCCGTTATGCCGGTGCAAACAACAACAGCCAGACAGACAATATTTCTAAAAATTATCGTTTTGACATTTATAGATCCTGTTAAGACCCGTCATATCACTTTTTCTTATATATCTCACATCTCTTTTTCTTAAATATAATCCAGTTACAATTTCGTTATATTAGTCACAAGAAAACTCCCGTATGGTCCCGGCAGAGAATAGGTCACCCCTTCCATTCCCGTGGGTGTCGTAAGAAGCGACTAAGGAAGAGCGAGGGATAGGCAGCAACCTCTTATAACATCTCCAAACCCGTACTGCGGTTGCCAATCCGCCTGCCAAGCGCGGCATTTATATATATATATATATATATTAGTAAAATGCTCTTAATTACTATTATAAGAAAATAATACACAAACATATTATAGCATGTATATTTTCATTTAATATAAAAAATTATAGATAACTATATATTTATTTACATGTAAGTAAATGGCAAACAACTTGTCAAAATCCAACAGTGAAACATAATAAAATATGGACATCCGGATACGGTACAATTAGCAATAAAAATACCTAAACTAAAATAAAACAATAAAATCGACCATATGAATGCTATATTCGACATGTTTATAACCATAGAAACACAGCACTAACTTCCATTACTTTTTCATTGACTGTACCTTAAAATAATAATTGGAATTTTTCTAAACAATAATACTGTGTACAGAAAAATGTATTTTTATACGGGATTCTATGTCTATCCGGACCATGATATCCTTAAGGAACTTGATATAGGATATTAAATTGCTATATTACTATTAAATTGGTATGCCCGAAGCGGTTTGTAATAGGTTTTTCATTCGCCAATCCCTTCTTTTTTCAGTATAACAATTTTATTACTTTCAATTCTCCTGTAGACTTCTATCCTCCTAGTACTCCGAGGGGAGTTAAATAAACAAACAGTTGACCGTTGTTTGCTTATTTAACTCCCATTTAATTACCACCGATTATTTTATTTGTCTTAAAATGTTTTACATTTTCAGGTCGTGTAAGACTTATTCTCTTAATATATTGCCCCGCAAAAAAAGAAGCGACTTCGACCGTGAACAAACGACGAGATAGTTCGTAAATACTGTACACTTTGTAAATATTACGTGTTTACATATAGATTTTGGTTCATAACAAGCGAATTTTTCCCAACGGCAAAGTCTAACAATAAAATAAAACTAATACAAAATAAAATAGGACCGACACAAATTAAAAACCCATCAATTACAAAAGTAATTATAAAATCGGTTCAGAACTGGCGACGTAAACGCTTACCTATCATAATCGCAAAAAAATAAGGCAAATCAAAAACTCTTTTTGGAAGCTACTAAAAATAGGTAAGAGGTGTTAGCTATTAATTAAAACAAATCTACTACTTTTAAAAGCCCTGTGGGCTTCTAACCTTCTGATTTTTTTTAATAAATGGATGGATGAATTTATTGCTAAAAATGTGGTACAATAAAATTTGTTTAAAATTTTTAGAATTAAATAGGAATAGGATAAAAATAAATGTCACAACACCCCGTATAATCATTGTTATCATCAACTTTACCTTGCCTTTTCGCATTTATTTTGGGTCGGCGCAATATGATTTCCACAAATTCCTGTCAACCATCATACCTGGGCTCACTCCTCTTTTACACAAATCATCTTTCACAGCGTCCATCCCACCTTTTCTTTAGTTTTTAGTCGCCCCCTTACTTTACATCCATCCACTTACATACTTTACACAATATTTAAAACATGGCCATCAGTTCATATTAATCATTGATATATAATATAAATACAGCACTTAATTTTTAAAGCGAAACTTTCGAAAAATACAATTTTTGCTAAAATATAATATGTAGACACAGTTTCGTTTATTTACGGTAACTATTTGACTCGTCGCCGTCACTTCTTTTTTTTTTGTTAATTTAAATTTGGTAATATAAAGTACACATATTGTGTAATTTTGACTTTTTTTTTTAAAAAAATAAATAATAATAAATAATAATCATGTATAAATAAAAATCATAAGTCAAAGGATATGACAATATTTGTTTACCAATTTATACTACTTCGGATACCCAGATAGAAATAGACAAACCCTATCACAGACTAGATGAACAACATATTCCGATACCATTTCTATACCGATAAGCACTGTTGATCAAATATAGTAACAATTGAATAGTTAATAATAATAATAATTATTATTTATTTAGAACAAAAACATTAGTTACAATATTATTGAAAAACGATGATATCCGCAGAAGTATAAAACTGTGTCGCGAATATCAACGCCCTCCTCCTCATTGCAGGATTCCAAAGCAGACATTTAAAACGTATGGTAGCTAGTTACATCAACGAAGACATTTTGTTATATCTAGCAACCAACTACAATACTAATAAACTATAATAATTTAAAAAAAATATAATTTAAATACAGTAGCCTACATACATGTTAACTTTAAAAAAAAAAGTGTGTGTGCGTAAAGTTGGCAGATGGCTCAATTAATCGATTCAATAATTTAAGATCACTAAAAAACTAGAAATTAAATTATATTAAAAAACTGACTTGAATTGTGACAAAACAAGTTAAAAACTAAACTACCATAACGATTTTGATAAAATTTCCATGGGGCCAATCTTTAAGTATATCCTTTCATAGTTAAAAAATATTTTTTTAAATCGGTTTCTTACAGACTTATTTATTTATTAATTTTTTGAGAACCTCCTTCTTAATGTCGGTACGCAATACATATATCCATTTAAAAATACCATTTCCTACACTTTTCTTACTACACGGATAAATTCGCCAATCATGCACTATATAAGATCAACAGTGCTAAAAAAAATTATTGTGATAAAATTCTCAATATAATCAGATCTTAAAATATTTCTTCTAAATCTTGAATTTTGATTGCACATTACAAAAAGTCCGTAACCTGCCATTACTCGAAGAAAACAATATTTATACTGTACTTAAATGAATCTTATTCGAAGAGGCCATTAAAATATTAAAATTAAATTAAATGCGGTAAATACAGAGAGATACAATTGTATACTTACAAAAACCGCGATTCGGTGTCATTACAAAACATATTGATATGTACAAGAGACTAAACTACTAACTATATTACCCTTATTATGCTACTTTACATAGAAACATGGTATCTTGTCTTTTTACAACACCGCGACCAATGTTCTAAATTTTAGAACATCGCCTAATTACGTTGTATATTACACAGGTGGATTGTTTTTCTTTATTGCCATCGAAAATTAAGTAGTTAACTATGTTGTATCAATAGACAATAAAAAAAAAAGTATGGCTCTATTAAGGCTGTCCAAAGACATCTAATTAAATAAAGCTTTATGATCTATTTTTTTCCGGATTCTAATTTAGATTTATGAAAACTCACACTGAGTGTCCCTACGTTGGAGCCATTATGTGGCCAAATATTCTATGTACATATAAAGCTTCAGTTCCCAACCAAGTCAGGCACCAAACACGCCATTTTACATTCCTATTTTATACACACTCTACATTTTATAATCATAGAATTGAAACCCGAACCCAAAAATACCTCCCGCAGTGACTTTTTTTTATTTACAAAGTTCTGGACATCAATTATTCTTTAAAACTTGATCAATGAACTATCAAAATGTAATTGTTTATATTAAATTAACAGCAAACTGGGCCAGAAAAATCATATTTGGCTAAATATTGTGATGTTTATATTGTATTAACAGAAAACTGGGCCAGAAAAATCATATTTGGCTAAATATAGTGATGTTTATATTTTATTAACAAAAAACTAGGCCAGAAAAATCATATTTGGCTAAATATTGTGATGTTTATATTTTATAAATAGCAAACTGGGCCAGAAAAATCATATTTGGCTAAATATTGTGATGTTTATATTTTATAAATAGCAAACTGGACCAGAAAAATCATATTTGGCTAAATATTGTGATGTTTATATTTTATAAATAGCAAACTGGACCAGAAAAATCATATTTGGCTAAATATTGTGATTTTTATATTTTATTGACAGAAAACTGGACCAGAAAATTTATATTTGGCTAAATATTGTGATGTTTATATTTTATTAACAGAAAACTGGGCTAAAAAATTCATACTTGACTAAATATTGTGATGTTTATATAACAGCAAACTGGGCTAGAAACTTCATGTTTGACTAAATTTTGTGATGTTTTACAGCTCTATGCCCAGTTTGTATTAATAAAATACTTTATTTTATGAGCAGAATATTAATTTAGTACTCATCTTGAAAACTACTGTATGCTTTTACTAAAACCACTTGTATGCATGTTTTTTAATAATACATAATGAACCTGTATTGCCAACAAAATGGTATAATACAAATTATAACTTGTTCAACTTAGTGTGTGGCACGCATGTTGAGTGACAGACGTGAATAGGGAAAAGAGAGAGATCGGAAGAGCTAGAGGCTGGCTAGTAAGGGGAGCGGAATAAACTAAAAATGTAATGTTAACTTAGTACTATAAGAGGTGAGATACCAACAGTATGTGAGTGATACCAACAGTATACTACAATAGTACATTCATCACTCACCATGACTAAATCAGCAGAAAATAATTATAATTATTTCCAGGTGGAATTGTGTGGAGATCAATCTGATAAGAAATGATGGAGGGTTAGAGGAGAGATCATAATATTAATGGGTTATTCTCTCCCCACTGCACTATCCACATCACCTTAGAGTAGTTCTATTAATTACTTTGTACAGTGCCACACTCCAAATTGACTGGTCATATTTCAACTATAATTGGTAAAATGTGTGCAAATGTATGGAATATATGGAAGACAAAAATATTATATTGTAATATTTTGTTTGGAAGTAAGACTTAAGGGAAGAGAATTGCATATGCAAATATTAAGACAAAAGCATTGATTCTGAAGAAATGTTCATCCATCTCTAAAACTAAAATTTCAGATTAATATTACAGTAATATTATATTCTAATAACCAGTATAAACTTTTAAATAATTTGTAAAAATTAAGTATATATATAAATATTGACTCAAAACTATATTTAGCTCTCGATAGTTTAAAACACAATATATTACACTATCTAATTTAAAATTTTAATTTTAGAAATTTAAGTAATGAAGAGTTCTCAGAATCAACACCAATATCTGTCCCCTTTTTAGTGGCTTATGATTCTATCAACAGAAACATTTCTATTAGGACATAAGAAAGAACACAATATCAAATGTTGCTGTCTCATTTTATTTCATGCAAACAAAGTAATATATCTATTAATAGATCCATTTGCCACTTATTTAGGGACTGTATTACGTGTCAAAATTTAATTTATTATATTGTGGTGGTAAAATTAAAAAATATTATAGCATACTACTGTAATTCATAAAAGGACAAATTCATTCATGATCTGCTATGACTAGCTACAAAGTTTTTGTGTTGTTAAAAGTGTTTAAGACTTTTTCCTACCAAAGTGTGGCAACATCTCAATCAGCTGTCAATTTTCATAAACAATTATATTTCTTTTTTATACTACAGGTGGCAAACAAGCAGACAGCCCATGTGATGGTAAACATTACTAAAAATGTTAATCATAAAATACATTGCACAACTTCATATTTTGCTTTGGCATTTTTTAAATACATTTTCTATATCAATATCCAAATTTTCAATTGCTTAATAAGAATATTATAGCATGATTAACATTGTAGTCTGCTAGTAGAAAACTTTTCAAATAATCAGTCAGATACATTGAAAATTGTTAAACTGTTTTGGAAAATTGACAGATAATTTCAATGTTGCCATACTTCCTTAAGAACACTCTTAAATTTTGTCACTGTCCAACACTTACATTATTCAATCCGCTGTTCTCAGAACTAACACTTCACTTCACTGCACTGCACTAGGTGTACAACTGTGCGTATTCACTGTACATGGGGGCGTAGGGGGGTCCAGTCAAGTCCTACTTGAGCCAGACAGGGTCGGGTTCCCGCTTCACTCAGTCCAGCTGTTGCACTTGCACCACCGAGTTGGATGGTGGGATCGAGATCTCATACTTGATCAGCTCTGTCCCGCGGCCCGTCGACAGGACCAGCCCGCTTACTTCTTTTACATCGTTACTGGAAATTAAAAAGGCATTGGAGATTTTTGAAGATGTTACAGAGTTCAGTACATTGACATTACATACTGATACACTGCTGTGTTTGATACACATTATTGCAGTTTATGAAATCATATCAAATGGCATAATGCAAGCGGTGTAATATAATAAATGACCACAATAATTTTTGCTTCAATAAACTTTTTAACAATTTTTTTATATCATCATATTTATCTTTATTTTTAAATACTGCATTGCATATAGAAAGCTTTTTATATGTTTTGGGTATGCAATCCAGCCTCCAGAGTTTCTGACTAGTATTCCCTACACAATTGTAATGTTGTTGTGTTCTCCTTTCCCTTTTCCCCATAAATCCTTCACTCCTTTTTTATCAACTACCTTTAAACATTTCTTCATTTTTCCTCAATCCCTTACTCCATACCATAAGTGACAGATACCACCGACAAATGCATTCCCAAGGAGGTTGAAGTCAAGCAAGAGGCCGATCGTAAAACCCAAAGTCCCTAAGATAGTATAAATCAATTCATATTAAGCCTATAACTGTGTAGAAAAAGTTTTGTGAAATTAAATATTTTCTTGCTGACTGTACATTTTAAACCAATATGTGATTAAAAGTCAGCTGTCTTTCTTAAAATTAAAAACAATTTCACCGAGAGACAAATATATCTGTTAACTCTTACTACATCTCTAAAATCCACTTTTAATTCGAACTTGAACTGTATAATGAATTGACATACATGACAGCAGTTTACCTGTTTAGGTAGATGAAATTATAAAATAAGTTATTATAAAAGTAAATAGTGAAATAAAACAGTTACTATAAATACAAACAGCAAATTATATAATTAAATTGTTTCCACAAAAAAAATTCCAACTTCAATTGTGGCAAAACCAGTTATTTTGATATAAAAACTAAATCAATTTTGATAAAATTTCGATGGAACCACTCCATACCTTTCAAAAAAAGAATTCAAATCATTTTATAACTGATGGAGTTATGAGGTAACGAACATAAAAAAAATACAACTATTATATAAAAATATAAGTGTAAATGTCATTGTGTCAATTTGTGTCATAAATGGTTCAAATAAAGTGTTTATCTATCTAAAATTAAATAAATTGAAAACCCCCTCCTTTTGAAGTCGGTTAAAAAATATCAACAACAACAGTTAATTTAAAAATAAAACAGTTATTATTAAATACAGGAAATTATAAAAACATTTATGTATACATACTTCTGTGTGTGATGGCGAGCGTGCTTATTGGGCGCGAAGTGTGCCGTGAGCGCCTTGCCTTCGCGGCCGATGATGTGCAGCTGCGAGCCGGGCAGCAGCCGCCGCCCGCCCACCGTGCCCACCGTGCCCACCGTGCCCACCGTGCCCACCGCGCCCACCGTGCTCACCGGCCCCACCACTATCTGATTGCCGATCACTTGCCCTGATCGATTCGTCACCTATACAACAAATCAATTCTATTTATTTAAATTTCTATAGGATTGACTAAACAGGTAATACTTTATTAGACTAAAATGAACTAAAAGTGATAGTAATGAACATCTTTCATCATTCATTTAGAATGGAGAAAGTCATAAATTATTTTTTATTCCAATCAATTAACATATCCTGGTCACATATGAAATCACAAACATAACAAAAGACTAAAAACAAGCAAATTTTAATTTTCAATTTATCCTAAAAAAAAAAACAAAACGGGGTATTCCTCATTTTTCCGCTTCAATTAATTTATACAACTAGTAATAGGTTAAAAAGAATCAATGAAAAAAAAAAATACGCACAAAAATAATAAAGGCAAATGAACCTACTTCTCTTGAAAGTCATTTATTTTAGAAAATAATTAAATCATTAATAAAGAATCCCAATATGAGATAATTTTAACATTATCTTTTACGTTAATGATGTCACTCACCACTTGTATGTGCGTGGGCTGGTGATCCTGTTCATGCAGCTCGAGCCTGTTCTGCTGTTGCACCTGTTGCTGCACCTGCTGTTGCACCTGCTGCGCCGCTTGTTGCGCCGCCTGTTGCGCCTGTTGTTGCGCCTGCTGTTGTGCCGCTTGTTGCGCTTGCTGTTGCGCTTGCGCTGTCGCTTGTTGCTGTGCTTGGGACTGTAATCACAAATAAGAACAAACAATGCTGAAAAGAGATAAAACATAGAACCATAAAACAACAAAATCGAGTACTTAATAATAAATAGTATAGTAATAATAGTAGGATTAGAATCATCATCATTTTTGTTATTTACTGCCCATCTCCAAAGATAAGCTTAAGCCATCATTGATCACAATAAGAAAATATCCTGATCCATGCTCCCACATCCATGGAGTCTGCATAACATTTGAGATCATCACTTCCATTTACCAGGAAATCTTTAGCTCATTAGCTCATTTACATGTATACGAGGTTTGTCCGGAAAGTACGTATAAAAGTTTTTTAAAAATTTTATTTTACAATTATTCAGGTAAATCAATTTTATCCCCTTCAAAGAACACAAATGCAATGCTGAAAATCTCATTTATGAGATAAAACATCAGAACCGGCGATAAAACAACAACAACAAGAGAGGTCGAGTCGTGGTGAAGAATCTCTCGCGCCAATAATAAATAGTATAGTAATAATAGTAGGATTCGAAAAAAACAATCAACATTGTCTTGACATTTGAATCTTGGATGTCTTCCACTCTTTGCTTTGGGATTTTAATTCGACATCAAATTCGTAGAACCAAGACTCATCTCCAGTGATGACTCGAAAAAGTCACCATTCTCTTCGGCTTCCAACCAGTCCATCATTTTTGATCACAAAAGCAAACGATAAAATTTTTTTCATTTGAAGTTCCTTTCTTAAATATCCTGATCCATGCTCCGTTAAACATCCATTAACACAAGGAATTCTTTCCACGTTTTCGTCGGAATGTGAAGTGGAAGGACGTCCTGAACGTGCAATCTTTTTAGCCACTTGTGGACGGTTGGTTCCTTCACAGCATCATCCCCATGAGATCATCACTTTGCCAGTTTCGAGAGAAACCGACGGAACGGATCTTTAGCTCATTACAAGCTCATTTACATGTATATTGCCAACTTTGAAGTACTCTTAAACATTTTTGGAAGAAACCTTTAGTTTAAAAAGACGTGTTTCTGTAAGATAAAGTTGATACACTCACATTTCTAGGCGGAAGATCCATGTGCTGCCGCTGATGCAGCATGAGATGATTCTTTTGGAAGAATGCCTTTCCACACTGGTCGCACACGTGTGTTCGTAACGTACAACTACCGTCTGGATGTCTGTTGGTCAATAGTGTTATTTTAAAATAAATATTATTATTTAGTGAAACAATCTCAGAGTCGTGACCACGCGAAGACGTTGCTTCAGAAAACTATTTTTATATAATAAACTTTAAGTATCATTATAGCATATATAGTAGAATATAGATTAAACTTATTAATTGCTTACTTCATACTACTTATTCGGCATCATCTTCACTATCAGCCTACTGCAGTCCACTACTGGACATAAGTCTCTCCCAAGGCATGCTACTTTAGCACGATTTTAGACTCTTTGCTGCCAGTTATTTCCTGCAACCCTACATATGTCGTCGCTCTACTTAACCGCAGGTCCTCCCACACTACGCTTGCCGGTTCGTGGTCTTTTTTTTATACAACTTAGAATAGGAAACAAGCTGACGGCCCATCTGATGGAAAGTGGTAACCGTCGCCTATAGACATGAACAATACTATGGACATAACAGAGTATACTGTTTCGCCCATGATACCCCCCATTGCGTTGCCATTCCTGAGGACTCAGATGTTATTCCTCTGTCCCCTGTAAATTCACGCTATATCCCACCCTTCAAACTGAAACACAGCTATGCAAACACAACTGCTTCACGGTAGAAACACGAATGGGACAAAGGTACCCAAGCAATCGACTTTTGTACAAAGTCTCCCTCTCGCGGTCTCCACTCCAGAACACATCTATTTGGTTATTAGTACTACTACAGATATGACTAGTACTATATACTGTCACATCAGATTGCAAATTCGTTGAGCTATGTTGGTAATTTCGGTCCTCGGGCGAATTACTTTGTTTCGGGTCGATCTCTTAACTCCAAGTATAAGATAGCTCTTTCCATAACTCTTAATACGACTTTTAATAGTTAGTAATCTTATCGTTAGTGTCCATGTTTCGGCACCATATGTCATATCATTTCCACTCTATACAAAATGAGGTTAAAGCATCCGGGCACTTTGATTGCGTCCTGTATATCTACGTATAATATATCTGCGTACCTTCTCTGATGTGCAAGTAGACCGTGTTTGGCAGCGAAACCTTTACCACAATCGATACAAAAGTGTATTTTTGGTCGTGGCGGCGTTACGTGGTGATTCTGAAATGATTATTGAATTATTTATATCGCAGAACAATATGACTTAAAACTCAAATAGAGTTAGGATTAAAATATACAACTCACCGTAGCAATAACTTGGGTATGTACAACATTACTGGGGTTCGACGATATAATTTGAATTGGTTGATCTAAAACAAGACAAAATAATTTACAATGATACAATAAATAGATAGAATAGGAAGAAGGGGGAGAGGGAGACCGAGACATAGTTACATCAGGCAGATCAAGGAAGGAGTCGGTGTCGTGTCGTATCAAGAGGTGAAGAGACTCGCTGAAAATCGTAGTGAGTGGCAAGAGCTCCACCGACAAGAGCGCAACTCTTAAATGGATAGATAGATAGACAATAAATAGAATACTGTGAACTTTTGTAACTGCATAATTTTTTTATCATACTTTTATCATTGTGAGTGCATATTTACATGTACACCTATCCCCCGATTTACACGGTAGATACGTTCCTGAGAAAAACGTGTAAATCGAAAATTAAAAATTTTCAAGTCAAAACCGTGTAAATCGAAAAGCTTGCAGAAAATGCATAATTTTGCTATTTAACAGTTGTGATTTTTTTCAATATTTTTAGGTGTACACAGAAATAAAAATAAAATTCATTGACAGGTTAAAATATGTAATATATTACGGAAACACTGTTTTTTTTTTTTTTATTTAATTACAATACATTAAACTAAAAAAATATTTTTTTCTGACACTGTGAAACTTTCACTCAAATACAACTTTCCGTAGATAAAACTTTAATTTTATGCGAAGAAATACAGACACAGTGTGCATGTGCAGCAAGTCAGCACATAAGCTCGGGATTCCCCGTGAGATGTGTACACAGCGCACGTGTTCAAACACAGTAGCATTTAGTAGAGTGCGATAAAAACAAAAAAAAAACTTATTTGGAAAACCGTGTAAAAGCGAAAACGTGTAAAACAAGTACCGTGTAAATCGGGGGATAGGTGTACATACAAGTAAATGTACATGGGAGTGCATATAACAGAATGTATATGTAGCATGTGTAGTTTGTAACAAGTCCACTGTGACATCGAATATCCGTATTTGACCGTGAATGTGTTTGTGTTCATATACCATACGTGCACGCGTGTATATGCGTATGTCTGTGCGGTCGCATGTGTATATCGTCACCTTTATGGTAAACTTACGAAACTGAAAAAGAAACATTTTACAGGGGAACGTTTTAAAACATTAGAATGCAAATAAGTTTTGACAGAAGACTACTGTAAAAGATCATGCTAACATTTTAGTTTTAAAATCCGGTTTTTTATTTAATGCGCTTAATTATTTATTACTATATTACAAGTATCAGAAATAAATGCATATTCGTTACTTTGCACCTTCATACATGAGAGCTCCTAGGTATTGAGTTATACAACAGCAAATCTACGAAAGTGGCAGTTTCGTAAGTTGCCAAAGAACATCATTTATTTTAATATCTGGCAAACTAACGAAAGTACCACTTTCGTAAATATACCAATCTATAAATCACGTGTTTTGGAGAAAATTTCAGTTTAAATAACAACGTTATAGCAATCATTCATGTAAAATAACTAAATTAGGAATAAAAATTTGATAAAATAATTATTGAAATTTTCAAATTAAAGTGTTTATATATATATAGAAAATACTATAACAATATGCTAAGTAAGTTTACTTTGGGTATATCACAAAAAAATGGAGATTCGAGCTACTCGATTTCTTTAACCGTTAGAGATAGAAATTTGAAAATAAGCCAGAATAAGTAGTATGACGCAAAATGTAGATTTTTAAAGAAATGTCAAATATGAAAAAACTGCAGATTCGTAAATTTGCCATAGAGGTAATGATATGATTATAAATGAGTGTGCGTGCGTGCGTGCGTGCGTGCGTGCGTGCGTGCGTGCGTGTGTGCGTGCGTGTGTGTGCGTGTGTGTGTGCGTGTGTGTGTGCGTGTGTGTGTGCGTGTGCGTGTGCGCGCGTGTGCGTATGCGTGTGCGTGTGCGTGTGCGTGTGTGTGTGCGTGCGTGTATGTGTGTGTGCGTGTGTATGTGTGTGTGTGTGTGTGCGAGTGCGCGTGTGTGCGAGTGCGCGTGTGTGCGTGTGTGGCGGGTACGTACTGTGCGCGTGGTGCGCGTGGTTGGCGACGAGGCCGGGCTGCAGCGCGGCCGTGAGCGCGCACAGGTCGGTCACGCAGGTGCGGTCGCCCGCGTGCAGCCGCACGTGCAGCGACAGCGCCTCCTACATATACGCATACACACATATACATACACATCAATAAGGTTAACACTCAAAATTTACAAATCTTAAAACATAACTATATTCACTGCAGTCAGTCACAGTTCGTTTTTAATCTGATCTCATAGTAGTAAAAAGTTATCATGTATGAAAAACGCATGTATTAGTACTTTAGCAGTCCAATTCCATAGCCGTAATAATCAATCTTGAAGTAAAAATAAACCATGACCAGCATTATAATGTGAATCTAGCCTAAAACAGGATATATGAATATCCTAGAGACTCAATATTTGAGATGAATTTTAAAGTCTCACAACACATCTTACATAATATATATTTATAATTTTTTGTCTATGTATTAAGCAAAAAATATAGAACATGCCACAGTCTCCCCTATGACCTTTTTCACTACTAATGTCAATAGAAAAAAAAAAAAAATAAGACTTAAATATTCTGAAACTTTGTTCACCTACCGAAATATAGATTTATTGAAACCTTATTATTTTGAGATATAAAAAAAATTATTAACCTCATGTATTATTTGAACTTTGTACAATTTGACCATAAACCAAAATAATCGTGTTCTGATATACATGTATACATGGGCCAATGAGTATGCACACAAATGGAATACTAACCTTTGTATTGAAACACGAACCACATTCCGGACATGCATATCCTGGCGTCGTTTTCTCAGATATTATCTGGCCGTCTGCACCAATCACCTAGAAATCAAATTCACAAATCAACTCGACTAGAAATTGATCAAATGACATATACAACATATAATACTATTCAAAACATACATTTGCCGCCGCCCATGGTCACCCACAACACCTACGGTATTGCAGGTGTGCTGCCGGCCTTTTAAAAAGGAATATGCTCTTTTCTTGAAGGTTATGTTGTCGTATCGGTTCGGAAATACTGCTGCTGGAAGTTGATTCCAAAGAGTGGTTGTGCGTGGAAGAAAGTGCCTTGAAAAACGCACGGTGGAGGACCGCCATTCGTCCAGATGGTTGGGATGAAATTTTAGTTTATGGCGGGTTGTACGATGGTGAAAATCTGCAGCAGGTATCAATCCGAACAATTCTTCAGAGCACTCCCCATGATAAATTCGGTAGAAGATGCACAGAGATGCAACATCTCTACGCAGTTTCAGTGGGTCGAGCCGGACAGTAAGACGCCGATCGTCAACAATTCGAGCTGCCCGACTTTGAATGCGGTCTAACGGAAGGAGTTGGTACTGTGGCGCTCCTGCCCACAGGTGAGAACAGTATTCCATACATATATATTGACTAATAAAAGTATGATCAAACACTATATGGACTAGTTGAAATCTGATACTCGTAAACTAATTATGATAAAGATTCTAATTTAAATTATTCACCACAATGGACATATAGTCATAGTCCTAGAATACTGACGGATCTGACAAAGATTACATATATAGATCCGTCAGTATTCTACGACCATGACGATATTGACTATCTTCATCCTCATCTCTCACTGGTTACCATGACATTGTCCAGTTAACTTAGGCAGGTTCATCATTCCATCTTCATCCATAAAAATAAAAAACCGGTCTTACCTGTACAATCTGTGGTTTAAAGTCATCCTGCTTTATCACAGTTGGTTGTTGTTGTTGCTGCTGTTGCTGTTGCTGCTGCTGCTGCTGTTGCTGTTGTTGTTGCGCTGCCTGCTGTTGTTGTTGCTGTTGTTGCGCCGCCTGCTGTTGTTGCTGTTGTTGTTGCTGCTGTGATTGTGTTGAGGAGATACAGTGTCTCGTAACTTTACAGTGTTGCTGCAACTCCGATTTACACTTGAACGCTTCGCCACATTCCAAACATGCGACAACGCCTTCTCCCGTGTGTATTCTACGAATTAAACAAATAAGAATGTTATTACAAGATAGAGAATAAGTATAACATAGAAATAGTATTTTTAATATGAAGCGAAATGACAGTTACATTACTAATATATAATGAATGAGACAGACCTACAGTGCGCTCTCGCTTTCGCCTAGGTTATATTTCTAACAATTAAAAAAAGAAGTAGCCCGATTCTTTGTCAGTCAGTATATAAGTGGACTATAAAAATGTACATGATGCTATACTAACTTCATGTGCGCAACTAGGGTCCGCTTCTGCAGAAACTCTTTGCCGCAGACGGGGCAGGCGTGAGGCACTCGCCCGTGGACGCGGCCGTGGTTCACCAGTTGGAACTTCCGCGCGAACGCGATCCCGCAGTCGCCGCACACGAACGGCGACAGCGACCCGTGGAAGCGGCTGTGCATCACCAGATGCTCCTGTCAAACAAATATAGAATAGAAATAACCTTTATTCAAATAAACTTGTTTACAAGCTTTTTTAAAGTCATTACTTTGTGATACTACTGTCAGGTTTGGAAGAATTATTATATTTATTAATTAATATATTATATAATAATTGAATAATAACTATCTGTTAATGTTATCTTAGATATAATATTTAACTAGTCACGTTTAAGAATTTTAGACATCTAAGTAGAATCTGAAAAATCATTGAGTGGCCAATACCTTATTGCAATTTATTTCAATGGCTCACTATAAAATTTAAAAAATTGATTTTTTTTAACTTTATCATAATACTAACTTTTAACCGCGACTTCGCCCGCGTATCTGCGGTATGTTTACTATACGTGATAAAAAGTAGCCTATACCCTTCTCTGTTCTATACAGTATGTGTATACCAAATTTCATAGTAACTGGTAACAAACAAACAAACCAAACTCACTTTCACATTCATAAAAAATATTAATCACAATTATAATATCAACTCACCTTCTGAGCAAAGCTCTCACCACAATCGCCACACACGTACGGCCGCTCTCCGGCGTGGTACTTGCTGTGTGTCACGAGATGACGCTTCAATGGGAACCCACGGCCACACTCGCCGCATACAAATGGACGGTCTCGGCTATGCACCTGGAAACAATATATAGATTACTATCACAACAGTGTAAGGAGCAAGAACTCTTGTTCCTTGTCCAATGCTTTTGAAGTCATGAAAGCCACCTTCACTGCTGGATTGTCACATTTTTTAATTAATTTAATACATTTTGATTTGAATTACTCAATTTTAAAAAACATTTGAAATCAATAAGTTTATTCAATATTGAAGTATTTAATTGCATTCCTGTAAATAAGTGAACTTCATGAAAACATACTTGATATGTGAAAATATTAAAAAGGTTAATGTCAGCATTTCATTAACCCATCCACCTTATACAAGAAATTTGATAAAATTTTGCAAGTTCTTTATCATCCATCTAAACTTACATTAAGCAGTATGTAGTCTGTGAAACTTCGTAGTGACAAATAAGTAAATAATAAACAAACAACTCACCCTAGAATGCGTAACGAGATGATGTTTCAATGTAAAGGCCATTTTACACTCGTGACACCTGTACGGCCTGTCCGCCGAGTGGAGCAACAGGTGCGTGTTGAGGCAGTGTTTCCTCGCGAACGCTTTATTGCAGTGTATACACACATGCGGCCTCTCACCTACGACACAATAAATTCAATTTACCCTCGTGTGCGTGAGTAGGTGATGTTTGAGCGTGAAGGATTTCTTGCACTCGGTGCACTGGTAGGGCCGGTTGGCACTGTGCAGTACCAGGTGCGTGTTGAGGCAGTGTTTGTGCGCGAACGCTTTCCCGCAGTGTGCGCACGAGTGCGGCCGCTCACCTGAAACAGAGCGGGCCGCGTCGCTACGCACACAACGGTAGGCGTTCGCGCAGTTCACACGCCTTAGCCTCTCTTTAATCTTTTCTTTAACCTTTTTTATTCATACCAAATGCTCCAAAAGTTTGGGGCCAAAGCATGATTTGTTCATCGAAAGAAGTTACTTCCAATTTAACTACGCAGTAAGTAATTCTATAAGATTTTATGAATCTTACTTTGTGTAAAAAAAAATACAATACTGGAGATGAGCCAAATTTTATATAAATAATTTGATGAAAACAAACACAACCATATTTATTATTACCATAGTGTATGAAAAATAGTGATGTCAACCCTTATGACAAGGGGGGAAAGAATGGAAGAAATAGAGACTGAGAATCCCATTGCTAGCAATATACCCAACCAGGTCGACCTCCTCGCGGTTCCCCCTGGAAACTATCATGGTTAATTCCTGATGAATTCATCATGATGGGCTAACTGGCCTGTTTTCATTCTCACCTATCACCCTTCACTGGTGCTCCGCCAGCGTATCCCGTTAGCGCAGGCTGGGTTACCATTCCATGTTCACCCATAAAAAAACCCTTATGACAATGTTAATGACAGTACTCAGTAACTTCACTTGTTTTTTGAATCACCAAAGCTGTAAAAGGATCTACAGGACACCTGATAATAAGCAAATGCTTATAGCCATTCAGAAGAATGGATGGAAATCGGCAAGTGTCAGGCAAACACAGAAGCAGCACTGCAAATTTGTCAATTCTCTTATCTACCCCTTCTGTTTTATGCAACGTCATTAAAAAATAATGAATATAAACACTTCATGTACAAACATGCGTTCTAACACAACTGATCACAGAGCACTACAGATGCAATTTCACGTATATGTGAGGCAGCATATACAAGGTGGAAGAGACAGGTTGGGCAACGAAAACAGCCGATTCATTAGAATGGTCTGAATCAGATGGCTGATGATTTCTCCACCGAAAATGCACCACCGTCATATAATTAACGATTCTTAATTTTGACGCCGCGCAATGTATTTGAAATTTTACAACGGATTGTGCCCCACGCGACACGGAATATCTACATCGCGCGTTTCTTCGTAGGTATTTTTCGCACGCTTGTAGCGTTGACCGTACATAGTTGATTTCGGGCGTTACGGTAGAATTTTAATACAAATAATACATTGCTGTTTTTTGGTATTTCACTATAAAATATTATTATTTCTTTATATGACATAATATCATAGATTATCATTTCAACCATGAAGTGTCCATTGCTGAATATAAGTCTTTCCCATAAGGGAAGTTTTGCCAATAGTTGCCAACTGGCCCGAGTTGGCAACCGTAGTTAGGTTTTTAGAAATGTTTTAAAAGGGATGCTGCTGCCTATCACTATGTTACAAAATAAAACTTACTATAAGCTTATTCGCGTCTACGCTACCTACGCACACACAGCATATGATTGATCTAAACCAGTGATTCTCAACCACTGTGCCGCGGCACTTTTGTGTGCCGCCAAATTTTAAAAGTGTGCCGCCAAATTTTGCAAATATTTAAAAAAATTTTCTAAACAATTTATGCAGTGAATTGTAGTAAGTAAATAATTTTTATCTTTTTCTTTGTGTGCCGCCAAATTTTGAAATCGTTAAATATGTGCCGCAACAAATAAAAGGTTGAGAATCACTGATCTAAACCTATTTATATATGTAATAAAACTTCAATAACACACCTGTATGGACTCGAGCGTGTGTGGTGAGATGGTGTTTCAGTAGAAACGACTTTCCACATTCGTCGCATGAGTACGGTCTTTCTTTAGCGGCGGCAGGCGGCGCTGTAGTCATCACTGTGGTAGTGTTAAGCAGCTCTGTCTGCGAATATACCGCCTATAAAGCAGTGTAAATATTTTTTTTTATTTCTAATTCTGTAAACTATGTAACATAATATATAATGTATTATTACATAGGTACTTAAAGTACAATAAAATATTAACCATGCATTTGATAAATGTATAAATAAATATATTACTCAAATGCAAAACGGTATGTTTTCGTTTTCATCCGAGTTTAAAAAAGAAGGAGTGTCTCTCAATTTGTTTTTTTTTGTAAGTTACCTCATAATTCTGTCAGTTCTAAAGTAATTTGGAAAATTCTTTTTTTATCAAAAAGAATATACTTACAGATTGATCCCATAGAAAGTGTATCAAAATCGGTACAGTCGCTTAGTTTTAAGATCAAAATAACTTGTCACAATTGAAGTATATTTTTGGGACAGAATCTTTAATTATTTAATTATTGTGATATTAATTCTTCAGCACTTGCTTCTTAACTCTATATCAATGCCATTAATGTTAGGAAAAGATTAAGAAATATAAAAGCAGAAGGCCTGATAATTGATATCTATTTATTTATTAAAATATATAATTAACATAATTTTTAAAATATTAATTTAATGACGGAACATCCACGAAGGCTCAACTACCGGCAAATCATATAATTTTCATTAATCAATGTATGATGTATGCTAAATGCTCAAAGAACCCAATGTATTTAGACTCGAGAATACAAAATTGACTTCACTTACTTTGGGTGAATTATTTGCTGTTCCCGGCTCTTGTTTTGTATGCAGCAGGTGATGCTGGTGAACAGTGTTGGCCTGTATGGAGTCTGCTTGAGTTTGTTGCGTCGTCGCCTCTGCCAGGGTCTTGATACTTCCATTTAAAAGTGTGTGGTTCAACTGTGATGCATCTATGACTGATGGTGTGCTGATCCCTTGGGCCTGAAGGGCTCGTTTCATCAATATTTCGTTGCATTCTTCAGCCGTTAGCTGAATAGGCCCAATTGGTGTCATGAAAGGTTTCGCAGCCAAATTAGCAGCTGTGAAAAATATATTTTTATTGTTACTAAACATTTATTAAAAACAAAAAATATCCTCTAATACTATTAAAACTTTTTTAAGCAACTCAAATAGAGAGTATAAGGATAAACAGACTGAGTAGAAGTGACACTCATTTGCACCTTCAATTTTGTGAATGGGACAAAGCCACTAAAATGGACCCTTCTTCTAATTGACACCAACATAGATTGTCACAAATTCATGACACATGTGCATGTGTGCAAAACATTCACTCTCACTTCAGTGTCTGTTGCTTGCAAACCCTAACTGATTTAGCTCAGAATGAGTATGACAGCATGCTAACACAGTTATTATTTAATAGTTATATCAGGAGAGTGTCCATTCTACCTGGATATTTACACTAATGAGGATAGACTATCTGACAATGCAATTTTTAACTTACTATGAATTGTAGCTGTTTGATTTTGTTGTGTCACTCTGTTTATAGTGTGAACAGGTGAATCATTCAATACAAACATTGCTCTCCGTGCGTTAACAGGCGTACCTGTTGTCACAACTCTGGTGACTTGGGCAGCATTCGAGACAGCCACAGTGACATTACCAACTTTCTCTTGCACTTGTGGTGTTTTATGTGACATAACAGTCAGTGTAGTTTCCGGTGACACCTGAAATGTTCAATAATTTCAAAATTGTTAATGAATCAAATAAATTAATACATTTTAAATAATAAATATATATTAAAATAAAACATTAATCACACACATATTATGGCTAGCTTTATGGTTAACCCCTTAATGCACACTTTTTTAATCAATTTAGGTAGAAAAAATCATTTATTTTTTTGCAAATAATTATTATTTATGCTTATTTTAACTAATTTTAATATTAATGGAGCTGTAATATTTTCAGACATATAAAATTACAGTGACCCTAAGGTTCATGGAGCTGCACAATTCTGGCGGTAAACATTGCCCCTATATGTCACAGGTTAATGACTTGAATGTAGTTTACTGCATCAACATTGGTATAATTGACATTGTAAATATATCTAAATATTAGCTAACAAATAAGACTTCATCCTACTAAAAATTATTCTCAGTTTACAAATGAATACTTCATCTTTTATGACCGTTAAGTAAGCAGACAGATTGGGGGAAAGGGATTGTTAGAGAAGGTCCACCTGTTAGGGTATATTGTAGTAATGAGGCTGTTAAACCCTACTGCAATATACCCAAACACCAGGTTGACCTCCTCGCGGTTCTGCCTGGAAACTATTATGATTCATTCCTGATGAATTCATCATGATGGGCTAACTGGCCTGTTTTCATTCTCATCTATCACCCTTCACTGGTGCTCCGCCAGCATATCCCGTTAGCGCAGGCGGGGTTATCATACCATTTTCACCCATAAAAAAAAAATACCCAAACAGGTTGACCTCCACTCACCTCTGGAAACAATTGTGTGTCAATAATTATTGATGAATTGATTATGATGAGTCAACTGACCTACTTTTATCTTCACCTATCATCTTTCACTAGTGCCCCGCCAGCATATACTAACTGACGATACCGACTGTGTGTGTACCGATTGGTGCGGTTACCATTTCATCTTCACCCATTAAAAGAAGCAAACAGATTACATCAGTCCACATACATACACAAACCTTAAAATAATCAGTTATTGTAGCAGTAAATAAATAATTAAAAAAGATAATAATTATTGTAATTGCAGACGTAAAATAATTAAATAATGTTAATTTAATGAAAAATAAATGACAGTGCGCATAATATACAAAGAAGCCATATGTTTCATTTCAAATATATTTAAGCAGCAATGTTCATCATTAAATATTAAATAATTAAAGTCTAAATGACAATAAGATCCAATAGAAAGACAAACACAATTTCTTTACAATTATCATACAAATACTCAGTAAATAATTTTTTATTCAATTAGGTAACTTTCTCCAATCCAAATTAAAATAGAAATGTTTTTTTTTTTTTTATTAAAATGATAAGTGCATTATTTAAATATTTTTTAAACAAAATTTTTTTATGATTTTGCTACCCAATTTGGAGAGCAATTTCTACTAAAAATCTTACATCTCACTAATATTAATTCAACTAATAAAAAACTGTAATTAAACTTTAATTTAATTATATCTGTACATAAGAAATATTTCATGTTAGGAATTTTAATAAAAGCAATAGAAGCCAAAACTATTTAAATTATTAAAATATTTTTTAGAAATTTTGTCTAGATGTTTGTTTCAGTATCATGCAAAAACTAATGCAAGGAATTGAATGTGTTTTTTAAAATTGTATTCCGGAACTTAAAAACTAGTATTTTTTTTTTTATTTTAATACATCATCTGGATGTGGTCCATTTAATAGATTTTCTTACTTCTTCAACCCGCACATACAAAGTAGCAGGGAAAAAGGTAGTGTTCAATAAAATTAGTCATTGCTTAGAATATTACAAGTACATAAATTTGTTGGAATGTGGTAAAAATATAATCACAATATTAGAAGGATCATTTATCCACATTTTGAAGATTTCATCTTTATACCTCAATATTTCTTCCAAATAAGTATACATACTACAATGTACCAGATGAAAAAGGTCTTTTATTGAATATGTACAAAATGCTGCAGAAACAATGAGTTTTTTAAAATAAGAATAAGTAAATGATATATCATTTGCACAAAAAAAATATGCAAATTATACTTTGCTTATCTTTCTATTATTTAAATTCTATTGAAATATACTAATTATGTATTTGGTCTTATATTAGGTCCTATTGTATACAAAAAAAAAATTCATTAAAATCTGTAATCAGTTTAAGCCTTGTACTATTCAACAATTTTATTTATGACTATTCAGAATAAACATAGAATTCCATCAGCAAATTATAATTATTAAATGTATGGTTAATTCACAAGTAAAAAAAAGTTAAAAGAAAAAAAATATCTCGATTATATTAGCAAAACCATTGCAATAAATGAAATTAAAACAGAATGCAGTTTATTAAATATAGGTTAAGTAAACTTCCATAATATAAAAAAGTAACAATATCTATGTGAAGAACAATGTTCTTAATTTAAATATAATAATAACCTTGATGCATCTGTATTATGCTGAGTAATGTAATTTTGCATATTTGTACGTGCTCAGGTTCAGATTAGGTATTTGAAATAAATGCAACTTACCGTGTTTCCAAGTGTATAACTCAAACTACTTGGGGTCTCCGCCTCGCCCTTTAATGGGTCAGCAGCACTTGTGAACCCCCACGAATAACCAAAGCCCGAAACATTGCTCGGAGTTGGCATACACATTTTCACTGGTAAAAACTTATTACAATGAACATAAAAACAAACCCACTAACACAAATCCACTATTTGATAGTAAACAAGAGACTTCATGACAGTTATAACATTATGAACATGTATGTACGCTTTCACAACTACTAACGCACCAAAGCACAACGCACCCACAAACCATGATGCCGACAAAACGGCTCTAATGCTGTATCTCCGCGCACATAATTAATCTTACACTATTAAAAGGAATCAATCTATGCCAAGAAATTCCTCTAAATTGATCTAATCAGCTCAATCTAAAAGGCGGCATAGGACGACGACGCTACAGTCGACATCGACACGCTCGCAATTCTCAACTTTTGACTCTTCAATAACTCCAATGAACACTGGAAAGCACTTCATATTATTATTTAAGTAACAATCTACTATAAAAAATCGCTACAAGATTAATACATTCTCCAATTTTAGGAAAACAATAAATTTATCTCACACACAAAAAACCGAACGCCATTTTATTCTTTATGGTCAGTTTAGTTTTATTTATGTAAGTTTTACATCCTTGGCAACCAAAGAAATAAATTTTAAAACTAGTATATATTTTTCGCGATAAAATTAAGCAAAAAATCAAAACCATAATTAATGATACTGTATAATTTATTGAAATCTTATACCCATATTTTTGTGGAAAAAAAGATGAAATTGTGTTTATTATTAAATATATAAGTAATTCAAAATCCTATGTAAGACTATTCTTGTAAATACACATAAAGTTACATAGCTTAGATAGTTTCTATATACATATATCTCTTGTGTCTATAGTTAACGTGTTTTAGTTTATCAATTCTATTATACATTATTAATTGCAATAAAATGATAAAACTAAACGAAAATATAGATTGATAGTAAAGTCAAAGTCAAACAAAATGTCAAATTAATCATTTTTCTTCTACTTTGCTTATTTTCTTTCAGAAGTTGTGAACGTAAAATTGAAGCTGTCATATAATTTTTAGAATATTTTTGCAAAAGATTCTAAAGAGTAATTAAATTTGTGTATTGTAGTGTAATTTAAATCTAACTCCTTAAGTATTTTAGAATTCATTATGAATCCAATGTCAATAGATAAAGACGAACCTTCGTCTTTGTTGTCATTTTCTACGAATCACCCCCTAGAGCAATTCGTTCTCTTAGCAAAAGGTGCTAAAGGATTTGCTTGTGCCGAGCTCATAAAACAAGTGTTAGAAGCACCAGGGGTTCACGTATTTGGAGAGCTTCTCGAAATGCCGAACATAAAAGAGGTTAGAAATTGCCCCATCGCCTTATTGCTAACTTTTAACATAATATGACTTAATTACTGTCACTCTATACCCTCTGTATACTGTAACATAAAAAAAAAATTATAAATAGAACAGAATTTATTAAGTTAACATATATGCAAAAAAAAAGTTGGCTACACAAGTTTAAATAGCTACACCTCACACTAAATGTCTAACTATATTCTTATTTACAGCTTGAAAATGGACCATATGCAGCCCATTTTAAGACACTAAATCTGTTTGCTTATGGCACCTATAAAGATTACTTGGAGAACAAATCAGAATACTTGGAGCTTACTCCAACACAGTGCAAGAAGCTTCAACACTTGACTATAGCAACTCTGGCCACACAAGAGAAATGTATTCCATATAGTGTGTTGCTCAAAGAACTTGATATTAAAAATGTTAGAGATTTAGAAGATTTAATTATTGAAGCTATTTATGCAGGTAATATACTACTGCTATGTAATAAACATTATGTTATCTTATTGCCCACAATTTTGTATGTGCAGCTTTTAGATATAGAAAAACTAATACAATATACCACTTTCAAGTAGTGGCATATTAAGATAAAACATATACTTACCAAATTTTAAGTTAAATAGAGAGCACAGAAATTGTTAAAATAACATCCAATTTTGTTCAGTGATTTTTGTACAATACCAGAACAAACAAAGAGACAGATAAATTTTCTAAAAATTATTGTTTTGACAGCTCTTGATTTTATTAAGACACCTCATATTAATTTTTCTTAAACATCTTACATTTAAAGACATTGTTTAGTTACAATTTTATTATATTTGTAAGATTGCCGTAGTAATACTTTGTACAAGTCATCTACTCTCATATATCTACCATGCAGCAGCTGTATATTATTTTAAAGACTGGTATATAGCAATGAAATTACTGGTTAGAGAGGCATAACAATAGTCCTTAGGAATAGAGATGGGTAATACTTAATTTGCTACACTGTACAGTTGTGTCAATTCATTTCACTACACTACAGTGGCACACAGTGCAGCACTTAAAAAATGAACTTGAAAGATTTTAATTCCCAAGTTTTTTATGTATAAGTATTTTTATATGATGTGTCACCCACTCACTCACCCCTTTAGCACATCGTAATGTTTTACAAGACTCCCTCAATTGTATTATGTTTTACAAAACTCCCTGAATTGTATTATGTAATACATGTATATTATACCATTCTTTTTCTCAATTTCAACTGTTTTTGATAATTAGCCAACAATATTATTTATTCCCAGTGAAAATTTATATACCAATTGAAAGTATTAGTTGAGGTTATGTAAATTGTTTTGACTTCTTTCCATTTCATCATTCTTTCATCTGACAGTTTTTCTACATGCCAAACCTCATTGCAACCTTTTTTTCATTTTTAAACCAGTTTATATTTTTTAATAATAGATTTGTTTTTAATACTCCAGATATAATCCATGGTAAACTGGACCAGGAATGCAAACGAGTCGAAGTCGATGTGGCATTAGGGAGGGATGCACGACTCGAAGATGCTGGTGCAATTGCTGATGTCCTCGCAGACTGGTGCAATGCATGTGAGGCAGTTCTGAACTCCGTAGACCGCCATATACAGAGAGCCAATCATCACAAACAGAGGGCTATAAGACATCAGCAGGCTATTGAACAAGAGGTATGATTTATATAATGAAATTTTAATTAGGTGATGGTACATGGAAGGTATTTAAGAAAAATTTAATAGAAAGGAATATAATATTTTTTTTAAAGTTTGTCTGTCTGTATTAAAGTTTTAGCATCATGCAAAAACTACTGCACCAAATTGGATGCTGTTTTTCCTATTATGTTCTTGAAAGTCTAACTTAAAACTGGTGTATGTTATACCTTAATTTGTCATGTAAAATAATTTTCATTGATTTTTCCTACTTCTGAAATCCATCCATTTGACGTAAAATGCAGGGCTAAAGATCTACTTTTAATAAAAGAAAATCTTGTCTACAAATTTCGAAGTTAGTAACCACAGTAAAACAGTTTACAAGATTAAGTGCTTACTAATGCTAATCTTAATTCAGCTAATCTCATTCCTAGCTTAACTATATGTATCTCAACATCTTTGCCTACATTAAGCAGGTAAAAAAATAACATGTGTTTTATATTGGACAATAATGGAATGGTAAACCCATTTACATTGTCAATATATGCTAGCGAGGCACCAGTGAGTGATGATAAATAAGAATGAAGTCAGGTAGCCCACTAAAGAGTTAACTAGAATGGTTTCCAGAAGAAACCATACACAGGTCAGCCTGATAGGGTTTTATTGTTAGCAATGAGGCTGTTTTTTTTAATGGATGATATGGAATGGTAACCCCACCCGGACATCGATACACACCGGTGGGGCACCAGTGAGAGATGATAGGTGAGGATGAAGCAGGTCAATTAGCCCATCATGACAAATTCAGCAAGAATTGTTCATGATGGTTTCCAGGAGGAACCATGTGGAAGCTGACCTAATAGGGTATATTGCTAGCAATGGAGCTGTCAAACTGCATTGCTAACAATTCCTTCCCCCTGCAATGAGACTGTTAGACTCCCTTACTAATAATAACATAATAATTACTTATAATCCCTTTCCCTCGAAGTTGTACGTAGCAGCTGTTACAAGTTGTAGTCATAGCTTATAAATATGAAAGTAATTTTATTTGTCACTTTTAAATACTGACTGATCAGAGGTTTCCTTAAATAAGATGGGAATGGAATGGTAAATCTGCCCGCATTGTTAGTATACATTGGTAAGAAATCAATGAATGTGATTATATATGAATCAATAGATGAAGCTAGGCCAGTTGGTCTATCATGTAAATTTCAGTATAAAATTACATATTCCGTCACGAAAAATTGAATGCCCTCTTGACTCAATTATGAAATTTTTGTTGCAGATTGTATATATTAAGAAAACTTTGAAAACTCAAGCCGAGAGCGAAGATTCTGCTACAGGCGGTGGCACAGAAACACACTCCGCCCCAAAAAAAAATTCCGGCAAAGGAAAAACACCCCGTAACGCAGCGAAATTTTGGCAGAAGAACACATAATTATTATGTAATATAATTTTTTGTTTGTAATAATAATAAATACATTTTTAGGTACCTATGCTACTCGATACTTTGATTATATACTTAGTTATTTAAATCACTTTAAAATCGGTCTTTGGTTTCTAAATTTATCGTAAATTCTAAATTTAAATAAATTAAAAACCTTGTTCCTTGTTATGTTTAAACACCTTTTATAAAAGCAGAATAGACGAAATTGAAAACGTGATATCTTTTCTAATTCTGAACCGATTTTAATTATTCTTTTTGACGTCGATACGGTTTTGCTCCTGTATAATTAAATACAATAATAAGAACCGCATTTTTATTTCAACTATTTGTTTATTTCATCCATTATTTTAATAAAAATATTACCAAGATTTTTTTTATTAAATATACCAGGTATAAAAAACTGGGAAATAGTCCCTGTTTGGGAACATTACTCATACATATCATATTATACATAAACCCTTAATAATCCTACAAAATATAATTCCTAAATACCATCCTAAATTTTCTACTATTCTAGTAGTTTCTATCTTAGAATGTTAGTTACCCACATATGCATTTATTATTTCTATTGCACAGTTTTTCTTATCTAAAAAAAAATCGCGGAATGAGTTACTCTATGTTGTTGTTATGAGCCAATCTTTGAAACTATTGAAGAAATTTTAATGAAGACATTTTCACTAGTTAATTTATAATTATAGTAATTGACTACCACCACCCATGATCATCTGCGGTACCAGAGACATTGTAGGTGTTCTGCTGGCCTTTTAAAAAGGAATGTGCACATTTCTTAAAGTCATGATGTCATATCGATTCGAAAATACTGCTGCTGGTAGTTCATTCCAAAAAGTAGATGTGCATGGATGAAAATGCCTTGAAAAACGCACGATGGAAAACCGCCGCTCAACCAGATTATTGGTATGGAACTTTAATTTGTGGCGGGTTGTACGGTAAACGGTTGTAATTCTTCAGACCCAGAGCAGTCCTCATGATAAATTCGGTAAAAGATGCACAGAGATGTGACTTCTCAATGTAGTTTAAGTTTGTCGAGTCGGATAGTAAGGCGCTGATTTGAACGCCCGACTTTGAATGCAGTCCAACGAAGGAGAAACGCTATTGCCCATAGGTGTAACCAAAATGACCCCATCAACCTCAATCAGACATAATTTATCTTTAACCATTTATTAACTTTTTTTTTTAAATAAATTCAAAGAATATTATCTCCTGAACGTAATCAATAAATGCTTATTACATGTCACAGTTCTTCAATTTGTCATGGTTCTGCCATCAAGCAGTTGTGTTTGTATGTATTTTAATTTTCAGTTTGAAGAGAGATATAGAAACTCCTTAATACTTAGGAATGTCAAACCAATGAAAATTAACATAGGCAGCACAGTGTATTCTGTGATTTTGTCATTAACAGGGTCTCTATTATATATATAATTGAGGTGAGCAAGACAGGAGACCACGCTTCATCCTAATAAGGGTAGAGCTTCGAACTAGCTACTCGGGGACCCCCGAAGTTCCGCCCCGAGGCCCCACCTAAACCTTCCTAGGAGGGTTTTTTTATGCATGATAATGGAATAGTAACCCCGCCTGCGCTATCGGTATACACTGGCGGGGCACCAGTGAGCGATGACTAGTGAGGATGAAAAGGTTAGCCCATCGTGACGAATTGAATGATAAATTAGTCGCGACGGTTTCCAAGGGGAACCGCGTGGAGGTTGACCTGATAAGGTATATTGATAGCAATGGGGATTAACCTCCCCATTACTAACAATCCCTTCCCCCCTTCTAGGAGGATTAAGAAGACCTATCATCGTCGTCAACGTGTTTGTTTTTAGTACATTGATATATATGAAGGCCACTGTATGTGGCTTACTGGACAACAGTATTACCTGTTATCCGAATCATGAAGCAAGTATTTTTACTACATAAAAGCTTCATCTGCTTATGAGCATCTAGCTCCTGTCAACATTCCTGTATAGATTGTTTCGAATAGTTATATTGCTATTCAAAATTGATAAGGCGTCCAATTTTAATCTTTGGTGTTTTCTCTATTTATATGCTACTTTTTCTCTAAAACCAGTATCAGAAATGATAAGATAATGTTTTAACGTATTGGCCGATATTTTATTAATTTCTGATAAATGATAGTTTCATAGAATTTCAAGGCGGTAACCCAATAGATGAAATGTCAAACGAGGGAGTGGGATATAATAGCGTTGATCTAGGCAAGCGACCGAGACAGCGAATATTACGAATTGACAACGAGTTTCGCCGACACGGGCTGTTTTGTTGACGCAGAAGCGCAGCAGATAAAGTGCGCAGGCAGTGCAACGATTATCACGTTCGCAGGCCACTAAAAAGTGATGTAAATAATACATAAAACGTTAAACATTGTAAACAAAGACTTGGTAACGTACTTACAACTATTGATTTACATGTAGACGGACAAATTATCGTGTCGTGTTAGTTCACAGCACCATAGCAACCGTGCAGTGAGAAATTGCGACTCAAGTGACGGTCGCGTCAATAATAATGAAACCGTGATTATTTATCAAAATAAAAAGAATCGAACGTTTTGTATAGAGACAATTGTTACCCGGAGTGCCACAAATCGAGGGCCTTCGTGTATTGGATGAACAGAAAGGCAAGTACTAGATGCCCTTTGTTAGGTCGTATTTACTCACCTTTCGCGTATGTAGGACGGATATTCATGGTCAACAATGTTTACCGAGTGCTGCTTTTAAGACGGATTATATATTGCATTAGAGCTATGGACTTGCTATTAAAATAAATTGTCTAGTTATAGGTAGAATTACGACGTAGCTGTGACGCTCGTGATATGGATATTTTTGTCTTTCAAACGAAACATTAAATAGGTATGCCATCAATATAAGTAGGCACCTAGCTATAAGGCTTCTGTACATAACAAATCGATACATGTGCGTGCCTAGTTAAAAATAATAATCGTGAATTCGTGATTGTTGGTGGCGTGTAGCGCGTTATTATTGTGCGGGCTGGGTTGATGTTCTTTGTTGTTCGCAGTCAGCTGTTCGCGGGGCCCGCGGGTGTGATCGGGTACGGGTGGGGGGAAGGGGGCAACCAGTCCAACTGGTACCGCGCGCGCGCGCCTTGCATTATGTTACGTCTATTTATTCCTTTTGTGTCTGCAACTTTTTATGTTATGGGGTAGCACAAGCCAGCATAGGTAATAGGTATTAGTGGCACGCTCCCATGCAGGATTCGTTATTAGGGTTTGGTTACAAATGGTACAAAGGAACCGTTGTGATGCAATTTTGTCCATCCGTCCGTGAGTCAAAGCGCTTTTTCTCAGCAGTTATAAATGTTATCGATTTGAAATTTGGAACAGTTTTATATATCGGCCCAAACATACCTGGATAGGATTGCAAAAGAAATTGATAAAAAATATTTTTCTGTCTTATTTAATATATATATATATATATATATATATATATAATATATATATATATATATATATAATATATATATATATATATATATATATATATATATATATATATATATATATATATATATATATATATATATATATATATATATATATATATATAGTAGTTATTAGTAGTAGTTATCACGCTTTGCAAGGTGGGATGACAACCGCAGTTAAACTTTAGTGATGTTTTAACAGGGACGCTGCTGCCCATCCCTCGACCATTAAGGTCCCTTAGTCGCCTCTTACGACACCCACGAGAAAGGAAAGGGTGGCCCATTCTATGTCGGGACCACCGGACAATAGAACGGGCCACTTCTTCCTTTTTCATTCGCTCTATAAATAATAATAACAATTACATTATTTCGATAAAAGGGTCTGGTTATCTCATATCTATATACGGAACCCTCGACGTGTAAATTTAACTCGTAAGTGACCGTTTTCTTTTTTATTTTAATTAGATATATTGTGTTCAGTGTAAATGCAGCGTAGCGAATTAACGACTGTATTATACTTACACCCCTTAAAAATGTATTCATACTAAGTAGGTAAGTTTGGTTAAGAGATAAAATGGATGGGTAACTCCTCTGGCGCTATTGATATGCTTTCCTGACAATATATGATAGGCTCTAAAGAACCATTATCTAAGGCGGTAAAATTCATTATTAAAAAAATATCTTTTTTTTTATGGATGAAAATGGAATTCTGTTACCGCCTGTACTGTCAGTATATGCTGTCGGAGCACTAGTGAGTGATAATAGGTGAGGATGAAAACAGGTCAGTTGACCTATCCTAACGAATTCAACAAGAATTAACTACGATGGTTTCCAGAAGGAACCGCCTGGACCTGTTACCATTTCTAGAAATGGAGATTTTTAACTACATTACTAACAATCCCTTTCCCCCGAGGCACCTACTAGTGAGGGATACCTACCTGAGATTATCAGAGTTGATCAGTGAGGTCATCGTGATTAAATTTTAAAATTATTAGAACTTAACCACGACAATTTCTAGGGGAGATCGCATAGATGTCCACTTGACATGGTCTAGCAATGGGGCCGCCAAATCCCAGAATAATAATGCCCTCCCCAGTACGATAAATTTTATTAAAAAGGATAATTCTTTTTTAATGGGTGAGAATATAATGTTAATACTGCCTGCGCGTGGGGGGAAAGGGATTGTTAGCAATGAAGTTTGACAGCCCCATTGCTGGCAATATACCCTATTAGGTCGACCTCCACTGGGAAACGATCGTGAACAATTCTTGTTGAATTCGTAACGATGGGCTAACTGACCTGCTTCATCTTCACCTATCATCCTTCACTGGTGCTCCGCCGATATATACCGATAACGCAGGTGGGGTTACCATTACATTATCACTCACAAAAAAAGAAACACCGCCTGCGCTATTGGTACACACTAGCAGGATACCAGTGAGCGAAGATAGGTAAGGATGAAAGCATAACAGTTAGCGCATCGTGTAAGCTACAACAGTTGGGGGAAAACAACTAACAAGTCCTGTCAGGTCGGCCTCCACGCGGTTCCTTCTGGAAACCATTGTGATTAATACTTGTTGCAT